AAGTATTCAATAGTTATAATAAATTAATACACAATTTGTATAAGAAGAAATTGATTCTTAATCGTAAAATGCTTGCCCAAGTAGCTGTGTCAAATCCATAACTTCACAGATTTTCAATAAAACAAAGATCAACTAATTGACAGGTTCCCCTTGGGGATTCTTAGCTGGCAGCAAGGGGAGCGTCCCAGCGGTGCTACATGTCATGTGTTGGTCGCTCTCGCGGGATCACATTTTTTTTTCTGCACGCGTTTTAGGGTTTTATCTGATTTTTTCAAGGTTTTGGATTTGCTTGGTTTTTCCTATGTTTCCTTGAAAAAAATATTTATTAGTTTTTCTCGCAAGAAGCACACTATATGAAAAGCACATGTGTGCTTCACGATGAAGTACAACCATGCTTTTCGAAAACTAAAAAGCGCATCTGTGATTCCCCAAAAGTGAAAGCACGAGTGCTCTTCACAAAAAGTGAAAAACGCAATTGTGTTTCCCAGTTTTTTTTGGTTTCAATTCTTTTGTTACATGTTTTTCCTGTTTCCGGTTTTTATGGTTTTTTGAGAGAGAAAAAGGTTTGTCTATAACTACTAGCATGAGATCTAGTTTTGAAGATCTCAATGTGGGAAACCCAATGATAAAAGCGGTTCGTGATTTGAATGCACGGTTCATGAGATGAAACATTTTGAAAAGAGTCATGCTATGCACATGACAAAATATGCATGATTCACACACGGCAATTGAATCCAGGCGGACAACATTTACCCGATGTGCACATTATGCACAAGTCAGGCACAAGTATCGTCCAAGAAGCAGTTTCGTTTTGAAAAAAATAAGCCTATGGAAAAGTGCAAAACTTCCGGGTTATGACAAGTGTCGCACATACAATCCACCACTTGTCACCACCTTTCGCCGTGAATGTACAACAATTAGCGAGCACCATAATGAACAACTTCGCTGAAACTACGCATCTCCTCTCGTGCGCGCAAGGCAGCAACAACGACGGCTCCTTCCCACCACCAACAATGGCCTACTGCGGACGCGCTCTCGCGAAGACATGCGTGTCGGCCGCATACAGTGCGCCGGCAGCGACGAAGCTGAGGTCGCCGCTCAGGCAATCTAGGCTACGTGAGCTTTGAGTATTCTTCGCCGCAGCTCTTCCGGGTGAGGACAGTGGGCGGGGAGCAGATGGGTGCCCGCACGCTGTTTGCTGCAATACCGAGAGCGGGGGAGATGGCGTACTATGCGGATAGGAAGATGCTTGGCATCATCCACGACGGAGGCGACGGAGGAGGAGGGGGCTATGAGGATGGGCAAGTGGAAGACTTCGATCCCACCTAGTTCGACAACTATCAACATCACTAGCAGTCATACACCCAGACGGCCACGCAGCAGTCCTACACCTACACCGGCGATGGAACACGACAACAGAGGAGGCGGACGCGGAGGCTGCCTACGCGGGCGCAACGACACCTCTTTGATCGGGGAGCAACTTGTTGGGATTGCTGGTACGACATGGCAGAAATGCACAGATTGCCGGACTAATATTCTTTTGGATTCGGGCTATAAAAACTAAGCACATTTGTCTCTTTTAGGTTGCGATCGGGGATCCGGCGCAGATGTGATTCGGCGCGTTGTTCGAGTTAGTGTTTGAATTTGAATTTGCTAACAGGCATATACAAACTAGTGTTGGATGGCCTCTCTCGCATCCGTGTCCGCGGACGGACACGCGAGAAAATTTGCGGCTTGCCGTTAGAGATGCCCTAAGGGATCATCTGGTCTTAGAAGGTGAGCTTTATTAGCTGTGATCTACCCGTGACCAATTGCTAGGTGCAGCTTGGTGAATTGAACTATTGGACACGGGTGAACCAACCTGTGGTTGGATGGTTAGAGGGACTGTGGTATCCCCAATCCATCAGGGTTTAAATCCTGGTGCTCGCATTTATTTCTGAATTTATTTTTCCGGCGATGCGCATTTAGTGGGAGGAGACGTCCCGTCGACGTCGAGGTGCCTACGGTGACTTCGTAAATTTCAAGTTGATATGCTGGCTCAGTTTTTCGAAGATGCTTATAGGGGTAGAGTGTGCGTGTGTGCGTTTATAGGGGTGAGTGTATGCATGTGCATATGAGCGCTTATATATGTAGTGATGTTAAAAAAAAAAGAACCATTGGACACGCTCTGAACCTTGTGTTTCTGAATGCGTGAATATTCGAGTACGTACGTACGTCCCGCGAACTCAACCAAATCTGGGACTCTCGCGAACCACAAAAGCGCGTCTCTGCCGGTGCAGTTTGGATCGGAAACCTTCACCGAACCGGCCATAAGTGACGTGAACAATTAACTCAAACACAATCCTGTGCGTGCGCTTCGTACCCACCAGATCATGAACGGCTTGCGCCGCCTCCTCCCCCGGCTCCTCCGCCGCGAGCCCACGGCGGCCGTCAGCGCATGGCAGCCTCGGTTGCCGCCCGGGTACCACGGCCACCACTTCACTAGACCTGCCGTCCGTCCACGACACTACTGCACTTCGCCGTCTAGCCCGACCACACAGACCCGCTTGGGCTCCCGTTGGTACCACGATCCACGGAAGGTCGCCGCGTCGGTGTCTGTCGTCTCTGCCGCCTTATGCTACCAGTTCCTCGAGGTGATTCCATGGACCAACCGCGCGCACTTCATCTTCCTGTCCCATCAGTCGGAGCGAGCGCACGGACTCGCCGAGTTCGCCGACTACAAGCAGGAGGTGGTCTCCAAAATCCTCGGCCCGCGCCACCCTCACAGCGTCCGCGCCCGTCGCATCGCCGAGAGGATCATCCACGCCGGCATCGACGACGCTGTCATCCTCCGCGTCGCCAGCAACCGGCACAAGGGGAAGGCATGGCTACCTCCGCCTCAGACGAGGCATCTCCATGGGCTCGACTGGGAGGTGATCGTGGTGGATCACAAGGGCAACACCGGCGCCTACTGCACGCGCGGCGGTAAAATCGTACTGTACACGGGATTGCTCGACCACTTCAAGACCGATGGTGAGATTGCATTTGCTATCGCCCATGAGGTAGGTCCGTTGGACTAATGAACTCATCTCATGTTATTATCGAATTATATTTTCAGGTGGACTCCAATTAACATTCAAATATTTTTCTTAGGTTGCGCACATCATCGCAAGGCATGAATCTAGATTTGACATAGTTCAGTTTCCATTTTGAGTTCTTTACAGTGTTCCCAAAGTTAATATGGGCCATCCATGTATGCTAATCCAACGGTTAAATTCATCTGATACTGCAACACAATTCTACGGGAGTACCATCACCTAAGAGGGTACCTCCGTTCCAAGGGTAAAGTTGTAACTTTGGTGAAACAATTGTGTAGTGGGGAACTACATTGAATTACGAGAGGAAATTTACCAGTTTTTTTATTTGATTTGTGATTATGGTCATGGGGGAATTGTGTCCAATTGATGATTCCTTCCACTAAACGCTAGACCACCATTCGTTTGTTAAACACAGTCCTTTTCGCATTTGATCTTGTGGCCGACACAAAAAATTTTGACAATCTTATGAGAGATCCTCCTGCAGCTTCTCCACGTCCCATGTTCTTGTGGCCGACACAAACAATTTTGACACCAGAACATGAGCGGTAGGTGATTCCATGCACATTGGTCTCAGCATATGATCCCGTGGTAAGTTTTCTTGCATAATCCTGGTATTCCTTGGCGTAGTACATCGCACCCTTCCAAAATTCCTCTCTAAACCTGTCAAGATGAGCTTCCAAGGACATTTAGATCGTGCCTTCAAAAGTATGATACTTAATGAAGTAGGTTCCTTTAAGAGCCTCCATGCTTGTTTAGATACACAACTTAAAAATTACCAATATCACGAAAAACCAATCCCCCATATATTTTGGCATGCACTTGGAATCGCATGAGACCCATGTTATTTTCCTTTCTCTTGCTTCCTCATCGGAAACTCTGTATGAGTGACGTAATGGGCTGACATAATCCTCTTGGTAGCTTGAAGCCGGACATTGAAAATGTTGGCACAACCTGGGCAACTGCCTTGTTTAAAATCTCTTCCCAACCATATACAACAAGAGTTTTTCTATCCACCCTTGAACTCTTTTCTAGGCATTATCTTTCAGATATGCAAACACTCCATTCTTTTGCCAACCAACATCAGCCGGTAATCCCAAATATTAGTCATTAAGAGATTCTTTCTCTACTTCTAGAATCTGCTTAACTGCATGTAAGTTATTTTCAGAGCAGCCCTTACCAAAGTAAATAAAGGACTTGGATAGGTTCCCTCGCTGCCCAGAAGCATCACAATACTTTTGCACTGAATCTCTGGCCCAGGCAACCCTTCGATAGATGCTTTCAAAAATAACAGAGTATCATTTGAAAAAAAAGGTGTTTAACGGTAAGTGCCAAGGGAGCCCCTTGTATACCCACCGGTGTCACTTCCTCACGCTTTAACATATAACACAATCCTTCAGCTACCAGCAAAAAATAGGTAAGGAGATATGAGGCCCGAGTCGGCCTACACTCCTTTGAGACGCCACCATTCAAGATGGCCAAGGTAACCAAGGTCACCCTATTCAAGATGAGCTGCACAAACCTTGGGGGCGAATCCAATTTTCTTCAAGATAGCTTCCAGATAACTCCATTCTACTCTGCCATAGGTTTTCATCGTATCTAACTTAACTGCACAATTAGAATTAGACTTTCTATTCTATGCTTAATAAAGTGCAGACATTTATATGCGCATATTTATCCGGAATAAGCAGAGTATGTCTTTTTTTTGAGAAAAAAATAATTAGAGTATGTATTAGACTTGCTATCATTTGTAATTTTGGGCTGAGATCCAGCAACAAGCAGAGCCCAAGCCTCTCCCACCACCGCAAAACCCCCTTCTCCCCTTCACACGCACCCACACACACACCGCACACGCCGCGGCAAAGCGAGAGAGAAGGGGCAAGGCGAAGCGGCGGTCTCGTCCACCTCCACCACCACCGGCGAGCGATGTCGGCCGCGGGGAAGGCGAAGGCAAGCGGCGGCAAGCGGGGCGGGGCCAAGGACCCCGACGAGGCGCCCCGGTCCGACAAGAGGCGGCGCGACATGGACGATTCCGACCCCGAGCTCGAGCTCGACAGGTGCCTCCCCTCCCCCCTCCCCCTCCTCCCACCGCTATTCGCGCCTCCGCTCTGCGCTCCGCGCGTCCCGCTCGCGGCGTTGCTCGGATCGAAGGGGCCGACGGCGAGGGCGAGGGTTTCCTGGCCGCTCCCCCTCTCGCGGGCGGTTCGTGTCGGATTCTGCGTGCGCTTAACTGATTTGGCCATGTGATTTGTTGGTGTTTGCTCCGATGGGATCCGCCGAGGCAGCGACTTCAAGCAGATCGTGACGATGCTGCGCCACATCAAGGACAAGGCTCACAAGGACGGCCAGAAGAAGACCGAGCAGGCCATCTCCAGGTGATCCCCGCTCCCATCCACCTCCCCACGTTTCTCCACGGTCGATCTCGCAATGCTAGCGTGCGGTAGGATTCAGTGGCCACGAGTGTGTTATTTGTGTTTCCAACCTGCTGCGTGCCCTATCTGAACCTGATGTGCGCTGTCTCTGAACCTGATATATAAGTGCACTGTATCTTTTTTTTTTTTGAGGATACTGTATCTGAATTTAGGCTTCAGGAGTCTGTAAATGGATGAGAACTAGGAGTTTCCAGTGTCATGTTGTTTGTGAATGATCGGGTGCCCTTTTGGTGATTGGAGTAGTAGGTACCAATGCGATGACAGGGCTTAGAAGTGTTGCGTGCACCAGTTGGTTCAACACGATTTACCCGCCTTGTTCAGAGTGAACCATAGCTAGTTTTTTTATCGAATATATGCATCGCATCCACCTCCCAATTTTGACCTTGGCTCATTCTCATAATAGCCTGCAAAGACTTGGGGGTTATGTTAGTGCTTCTGTTTACTGCATTGCATTGCATTTAGATATTGCAAATCTATGTTTGCATCACCAAAGTAGCAGGAGCATACCCTTGTTGTCAGGTGTTTGTGAATGCTTAGGTCTCGTATGTAATCTTGCGCCAGTAGATCATAAACTCGTAAGAGACATTTTAGGTACTTTGTAATGTTGTGGCAGTTGATCATAAACTCGTTTACCAGTGCTTCTAGTGTGCTGTATGCCTGTACCTGAATTTAGATATTGGAAATCTATGTTTGCATCACCAAAGTACCAGGACAGCATACCATTATTGTCAGGTTGTTTCTGACTGCTTAGGTCTTGTATGTAATTTTGCGCCAGTAGATCATAAACTTGTACTCCCTCCGTAAACTAATATAAGAGTGTTTAGATCACTACCTTAGTGATCTAAATGCTCTTATATTAGTTTACAGAGGGAGTAAGAGACATTTTAGGCACTTTGTAATGTTGTGCAGTTGATCATGAACTCATGGGAGATTTGTTCCCTTCAATGGTAGGATTGTGGAGTTATGAGTGTTATCAGTGCTTCTATAGCCTGCTGTATGCCTGTACCTGAAATTATGTTCCAGAAATCTGTAGTTTGATGAGAAGTAGGATTTACGAGTGTCATTTCTTTGTGGAACAAATACTTCTGTTGATCGAATCTATGCATCCACCTTCCCTTTTTTCTTCTGACTCACTCTCACAATAGTCTGCAAGGACTTCGGAGTCATGTTACTGTTTCCACCTGCTGTGTTGCATTTAGACATTGGAAATCTGTGTTCGCATCACCAAATTAGCAGGGCAGCATACCATGGTTTCCAGATTGGTCATGACTGCTTAGGTCTTATCTGTAGTGTTGTGCCAGTAGATCATAAACTTACAAGGAAGCATATCATACATGATCATTCCGGTATGAAGGATGGATTCATATGATGAATTGATGACATCTCAGTGTGCATATTCAGTGGCTTGATATTTTGAGCCTTTCCTGTCTGACAAAAGTCCCAATTTATGTATATTGCACACTTTTTAGCTGCTGGTAGAATTTACTTTACTAACAGATTCTTTTCACTTTCAGCGTTGCAACAGAGATTCAATCTATGGTACAGGACACCAAGACAAAGTTTGAGAAGGAAAGGTGAACAACCGAACTGTTTCACTTGCTTTTAACTTTCTGTGTGTAGAAATACAAATTTCCTGCTATCCTTTTTACTCATTGCTCCAACATGAACATATATAAGCTAATTCTTGATAATAAAAACTATGAATGCTATTAATATGTACTCTGATTGCTGACAAATGCTACTGATTGCATTAGCAGGCAGAATGTTCTTAAAGCTCTAACGAAGGCTTCCAAAGAGGTTTGAACTTCTATTGATCCAATGACATTCATCAGGTTATATAATATTGCCACAGTTTGGTTACCAGCTTTAATTTTATGCAATGCAGTGTGAAGGTTCATTGAAGACCGAGTACACAAAGTTTCAAGCCACTCATGACAAGTTCTCCAAAGACAAGGCTGCACACGTACAGAATTTCAAAGGTGTGCTGAATGTGCATCCTCTACCACATTTTCTGAAGTCTATGTCATATTACACTATACATGTTACGAAAAATACATACTCTACACGTGGCAGGAGTATATGTTGAACATAGTCTGCTCTTGTCCTAGCTTTTGACCCTAGAAAAACTGTAGCTGCATCCTTTTTGAATTATAACCATATTTGCATGTAAATGAGTTTATTATCTTGCCCTGACACATGTAGGAGAATTATATTGCCAAACAGTATCCAAAGAAAACCATGTCCTTGTTAACCTTTAAAGCTGGGTGAACTGTGCACAGTTTTACGAAAAATTGTGCTACTGGCAATTAAATACACATAATTATTTAGTATTTGTTTGCGAGGATGAGCCAGTATTTTCAGGTTATACTTGTGCATACTGAGATCTGAATTTGTAGTTTCCTGCCACATAGTGAATCATCTCTGTTGTCGACTACTTATCGACATCTTGTATGCTGCAGATCTTTTCTCAAAGTTTGAAGTTGAAAAGGAGAAACTGATAGTTCAGTATGAACTGCAAAGTAAGTAGATGCTTACACTACTTATGTAGGAAAGATCTTTGCTGTCACTTGTCTTTTAAACAGGTCTTGTATGTGCAAGATTCTTTGCTCTTACTCAAATACTACCTGTTTAACAGGGAAGAAGGAAAAGACCACTCTTGCTGATCTTGAGAAAACAGTGTCGGAGAAGATAACAGATGCAGAAGAATCTCTGAAGAAGTTGAAGCAGGTTTGTTCAGCACCCTGCATCATTACTTGAACCGCCTTTCTGGTCATGTAACCATATATTGCTTTAACAGAGTTCGATGCGTATCAGTACCCAGTAGGATGGAATTCTCTTTGACAAGTAACCCTGTGTTTGTGTCTCGCAGGGTGACAAATCCATCATCAAGCTTCGCAAGTCCTTTGCCTCGTTCCTGAGCCCCGACGACGAGGAGGACTGATACGGCTCTTGCCAGATGGTCCGTCTTTCAGATCGACGTGGAGGATAGTATATGGTTTTGAAGAACAGAGATGATGCACAGGGGAAAGAGAGAGTAGGTTCTGTAGCGTTTCGGTAGCTTTACCCGCACGGCTCATACGGTTTCGGTGCTCTGATGTCCGTCTTTCAGATCGACGTGGATAGTGGTATATGGTTCTGAAGAACAGAGATGATGCACGTAGGTTCCATAGGATTTTGAATAGCTTCTTCACCCACACGGCTCATGCGGTTTCGGTGTTCCGATGCACGATCAAACCTAACTTTTCCTGCTCTTTGATTTATAACCTAGCACCTGGGTTGCTTTCTTGCACGCACAGCAGCCATTGCTAAGCTCCTGGCCGACCTCTGCTTATGTTTTCCAACATGTAAATTCTTTAGCAGTCTTCCCCTGGACCAACAACATTCAGTAAGAAACATATAGTACTACATATATACACATATATCAAGCAAATACAGAAAGGTTTACATCTACTGCAAGGTTTTAAAGCTACTCCACATTGCATCCTTCTCTGGAGGTTGTAACTCGAAGTGGTAATCTGAATCTGAACTCTGAAGACGTTGTGGTTCCACTTCACGTGCACGTCGCCTCCTCGGGGCCTTTCACCTTGACCATGACGCGCTTCAGGCAGTTCCGGCACCGGAGGTTCCACGTGCCGGCCGACACCATGGACGTGAACTGCGTCTCGCACTGCGGGCACCGGGCCGGGCACTGGAACGTCGGCGGCTTCGTGGGTGGCGGCGGCGGCGGCGGATTCTCGCTGGGCACCTGGTGGTACGAGCCCGACGACGTCCACACGTACGTCCTCTTCTGCTCCTGCTCGTGCAACACGGTCTGGCACCGGACGCACTTGGCCTCCCCGGCGGCCAGGTCGCCGGCGGGGACCTCCCTGGCCACCCTGCAGCGCTCGCACCGGACGCGGACGAACCTCCTCGCGCGCGACGCCGACTCGGCGGCAGGTGGCGGCGGCGGCGCCTCGGGCGCGGGCGGCTTGGACGGCTTCGGCGGCGTGGACTGCTGCTTCGCCGCGTGGTGCGATCGGTACCACTCCTGCGCGGAGGCCGCGGTGGTGGCGGGGCTGCTGTTGTAGTAGGGGACGTGGCCGGCGCCGGAGCCGGAGGAGAGGGCGTCGCAGGCCTGGCCGAGCAGCTTGAAGGCGCCCTCGGCAGCGGCGGAGCGGTTCTTGTCGGGGTGGACGAGGAGGGACAGGCGCCGGAACTGCCTCTTCACGGCGGAGGCGGACGCGGAGCGGCCCACGCCGAGCACGTCGTGCCAGTAGCCCGCGCGGTGCTGGGTCCCGGCCGCGGCGGCGTGGACGTCGTAGGCGGCGAGCGCGTGCGCGGCGCCGGGGAGCGACGGGGAGAGCCGCCGGGCCTTGGCGGCCAGCCGCCGCGCCCCCGCCACGTTGCCGGCGAGGAAGTGCTCCTCCGCGCGCCGCAGCGCCCTCTCGGCCTCCTCCCTGTTGGCCGCCTCCGCCGCCATCCGCGCTCGTCGTTCGTCTGTGTCTGCGGAGTCGGTCGCAATGGCGGTTGGTGCCGGTGTATATGATGCCGCGCGCGCGCGCGCGTGCGAGAGAAGATCGGACGATGTACGGCGTGTGCTATGTAGCGGCCGAGTGGCCGACTCCAGGTCCAGATCGGAGAGGCTGCGCGTATTTCTTTCTGGTTGGGACGAGATGGGCCAAAGAGAGAAGGCTGGACTTGTGCCTCTTGTTACTTCCAGCCTGGCCCAATGTTCAGGCGGATCGTGCCACCTGTGCCTCCTCTATAGAGATAGAGCCAAACCCTATTCGGCTCCTTCTGCGCCCCTTACTTCGCTTTCC